TAACAATTGATTGTTGTTATGCTTAATCTGGACAATTTTACCCCTGCATAATGTATAATTCACTAACATGTTAAACACACTAATATTTCTTTGAAACCACTCAAAACATCAAACTATCATTAATACATTAAGAAATGTTTGATGTTGTTGTTGTGGTTAATCTGGACTATTTTACCCTTAGATCACATTAAGACATTAACAATTGATTGTTGTTATGCTTAATCTAGACCATTTTACCACTGCATAATGTCCAATTCACTAACCTGTTAAACACACTAATATCTCTTTGAAACCACTTAAAACATCAAACTATCATTAATAAAAAAAAAGATTTAGTCTTAATACATTAAATAAAGTACAACATTATCTTTGAATACAGTTTCACTAACTACTTCTTAAACACAAACAACAGAAACAACACGATCACAATCATCAGAACTTTATGAGTAAATAGCTTACATTTGATTTTTTTCAAACTCTTGTCTAACAACCAAAATTTCTTGTTTCATCTTCATCTTACATATGCTGATCTCGTTTTCCAATGTAGAAACTTTGAGGGTTAAAGTGCACAGTTCTTTTTGGTCCTTCCCAGAACTGACTTCATTTTCAGGGGTCACGGGCTCCAACCATTCCCAGAACTTGCATTTTGGTCATTCATTCTTGAAAAAAGTAACAATTTGGTTAAAGAAAGAAGATTAAACCAAAAAGATTAAAACATTTTATTTACCATGGAGTTAGGGCACAATCTGAATTTTTTTCCTGAATTTTCTTTAGTCCGTGAAGTCCGTACGCGGGATGGTAACTCACAGTAACAATGATTTTCAGGTTGAAATTCAGCATTTCGTTTGAAAGAGGTAAAAGAAAAAGAAAAAGAAACATCCATGTTGATCTAGGGCACAATTGATGAGAATGACGCATGTTGTCGCTTAATATTGTGTGACTTGAATATAATAAGCCTAGTGTATACCACATAATACCACGTAATTTCCACATAAGCAATAACCTACAACAACCGGTCGTGAGGGTTTGGTGAGCAGGAATATTAAGTTCAATGGATAATAAAGACAAAAAAATAAATTAATAAATAAATAAATAACCAAATAAATAAAAATTGGAACACTTTATTACTCTCAAATGTTATTTTCCCTTTAATATTTGATTACCAATATTCTATTTTAGTACCTCTAATTTCTACAACATATACATGGCATTATTTTAGTGAATAGCTCCATATTTTACCTATTTAACTAATATTTGACGATTATCACATTAACATTTTCTATTTTTATATATTTATAGGGTCAAAAGACTTTGAACCTAGCCTCGGAAGATACGGGTTGGGGGTCAGCGAGGGGGAGATGTTTTGCATATGGGTCAAGTGTCGTCTTCAATGTATGTCGTGGCCCCTATAAATAACCCATCCCCCTTTCGTTTTCTCCATCAAACCAACCAATTACTTGACGTGTTCTTTCCCCATATCACCCTGCACTTGACTTCCTTCATCATTCATTCGATCAAGTTTTCCCTTTTGTGATCAAGGATCGATCAAAGAGTTTGGATTCGGCTTTGTTAAATGGATCAAAGGAAGCAGCAATCCAGAGGTTCTTCTTCGTCTTCTTCTTCATTTACTGAGAATCTCTTCGGCCCTAAGGATCCGTCCGCCGCCACCTCCTCTGGCCTTTTCAGCTCTGTTTTTGGCCCCTCTTCCACGGTATCCTCCTCTCTCTTTTGGCTCTGGTTTCATCGATTACTTTATAAATCACACTTTATTTTTATATTTTAGTGGATCCATTTTGAATAAAGTGTCAGAGCTTTTCTTTCAATCTTCAGTGTTCTGTTATTCCATGGATTTGCTGTATGTGTGATTATGAATCCTAAACAATTGGACATATGGAGATTGTTTCGTCCAATTAAGGAAAGAAAGCAATATGAATCAATGAACTCACTAGCCTTAAACTTTATAATTTCTATTTCAGGGTCTAGGCAAGGACTCTTCTCATTCTACGAACACAGGAGCATCCAAAAAGCAGGAGTTTGGAGGTCCATATGGAATTGGCAAACATTCAACACCAGGTTGGTATAAAGTTGTCTATGGAGAATTTAATTCTCTGATGTAAGTCAGAATAATTTCTAATTACCTCATCATTTTTTCCCATTTTTGGTAATAGATCACAAGACACAAAGATGCATTGGTGAAAAGGATGGGAATCCCATTTACCAAAATGAAACAGCAGAACCAAGCTATCTGAGTTCATCCATATATTATGGTGGCCAAGAAGTTTATTCTCCAAATAGCCAACCCTGTCGCCCTCACCATACTGTGAGCATCTGCATCTTCACTTAACCTTTTTGTCACATACCAACACTAAAAATGTTGAAACTAACAATATTTTCATACCCATTTTGGTTGATTAATTAGTTCAAGAAAGATGGAGGTGATGAGGATCCAAACAATAACACCGCTTCAAGGGGAAATTGGTGGCAAGGTAACAAGTTTTTGGGAATTCCAGTGCTCAAGAATCGCTAAAATATTGCCAACATTTCGGCCCAATTAAATAAATATCTTGTTTCTTGTTTCTACAGGTTCTCTCTACTATTAAGTCCCTTTCTGTTCTCTGCATGAAGAAAGAGGGGGTCGATAATGGCAATATGGTAAATAATCCTAAAGTATGGCCAGAGCTTATGGTTTTTAGTTTTTTTTTCTCTGTGGGGGGGTCTAGATTTTCTTTGAAGTTGTACATGAGCCTGATGTTATAGTGCTCAGTTGATGTCTGTTTTTCTATAGGCTTTTTCTTGATATGTTAGTGTGGTAACATGTCTTCTCCAAGTGATCTTTATGTATGGATTATATATGAGACTTGTAACCTTGGTTCTCCTCCTAATTTAGTTGTTTTCTGACTTGTAATAAGCCTTTCTTGATGTGCCTGTTAATAATGCGGTAGGATTCCTATATATTCTCACAAAGATGATATGCATTTGCCATTTGGTTAGGTGCATTTCACTAATTTAGCATAAAATATGCCTCTTTTTATGATGAAATATGCTCATATCATCAGGAAGTCTTTTCTTACTTTATGTGTCAAATCGGCTCCTAGTCTACTTGCATCATTCTCTTTAATAGTGTGTATTGGGAATTTAACAAACCAAGTTGACTAACTTCGTACAAACGATAGTAAAACACTTGGAATAAAATTTTTGAAAAACTTTATAGTACGAATATAGTATTTATCATGGTTCGATTAAAATGAACTATGTCCACAGGCGAAAATGATAGAGGGATGATTTTATTAACTTTCAAAAACAATTAAAATTATTCACAAAGGTTGCACTTTACTTGAGCTCTCAAAACAAAAGAATATCTCTTGTTTACGAACATTCCAAATGATATACTAGCAATCTCACAATGGTTGTTCTTTTGAATGTGCTCACATAAAACTAGCCATGAATAGTGATATGGATGCTTGTCTATTTATAGACAAGCATTGGAAATCCTAATTATGATGGATCGAGGTCATCCGCAATTAGACCCTAAATGGAATCAACCAATCACATGACGCCATGCAAATGCTTCTAGAATCTTCAACCTTGGATGATGTGCATGGCCACCTGCCATGCAAATAGGAGCACGTTATCAAGACCCAACAACATATTCTTCTGCTATTGGAGTGCATTCACATGCATAGGAGTGCATCCTAATGTTGGAGCGACTTCTAGCACATGTTGGAGCATATTCTGACACATGATGAAGCGCATTATGATGCCTCCAACAAATTCTCCAATTTCTCCAATAGATTCGGGACTTAACATATTTTGATCAGGCACCTTCTCTTTCTCTAACCAAGAACATTTTTTCGCTCACCAAGAGCAATTTTGCTCTTCAATAGCACATTTGATCAAGACTTCACACTCCAGCACTATACACTTTGTTAAGTATACTTTCTTAAGTGTTAGATGATCTTAGTTTCTTATTTCTTTCTTTTAGGTCACAAAAGGTTTAATTGCACATTCTAAATTTCTAGTCCCTTGAAATAACAATTTATTGAAAATGTATTATTTTTATCATATTTGCATTTCAAATCATTTTTGAGAGCGCCAACATCTGCATCATAATATCATTTATTTTATTGATATTTTTTCTATTAAACGCTGACTTAAAGAAATTATTTACTCAAACGACCATAAAAGGTGGACTCGTATTGCAAAATACTTCGAGAAAATAAACCCATGGGTTTGCGGGAATAGCTTTTTCTAACTATTCATACTTTAAACATTCACAATGAACAACAAAAATCGCGATAGAGTTTTTTCCAAGACAATAAGATCAAAAACTCTAATATAAATTTTTGATTTTTTTTCTAGGCATTCCTCTTCTCATTTGTAAAATTTATTTCATCAGTTTGAAGAGGTACGGATGTGGTAGGGTTTGGAATGACTTTGACATTGGCTACGGTTATTTTTGGTGTGACATTTGATGGTGAGCCTCATGGGATATTTGACAACCATGTTTGCAAGTTAGATTAGTGTTAGAATCAAATGTGAACCACAATCTCATGAACACAAGATTTAGAGCGGAACACCCCAAAGAATGGGTAAAAAACACTATGAAAGAACACTATATTAAGCTTTTGTAATTTGTAATTTAAGGGTTACAGTGGATAAATGATTGTGTATAAAATGGAAAAAATATATAAGCGAAAAATTATAGGTTTTATTATCGGGCTCAAAAGAAAAGAATGTATGGGGATTGTTTTAAGGGAATAAAAAACGATCAAAGGCTAGAATATGGTAAAAATTGATTTAAGTCCTAAGCATGTCGTCTCTATGGACCGTCATTCTTAAACCCTAAAGAGTTTTCGTGGGCAGCTTATACACTTCAGAGTTATTGAATTCTATTTCTATATTTCACCCTTCGAGATTTTTGTGAAGTCAGTTTATCTTACTCGTTTGAAGATTACAACTACAACCAAATATTTGATTTATCCTACTCGTTTGAAGATCACAACTACAATAGATTTGATCGTTTATTTTTTAATTCCCTAAACCTAATACATATTCTTTTGCTTTTGAGCCCAATAATAAAACTCACAATTTTTTCTTATCTATTTTTCTCGTTTTATACACAATCGTTTAGCCATTGTAACCCTTCAATTACAAGAGATTAATATAGTGTTCTTTCATAATGGTTTTTACCCATTCATTGGGGTTTTCCACTCTAAATCTTGTGTTCTTGAGATTGTGGTTCACATTTGATTATAACACTAATCTGACTTGAAAACATTGCATGCACATACACATTGGATTATACCAAAAAGTCACCTCTTTTTTCGTTTAAATTTTTTTAGGCTATGTTTTTTATCGAAAAAATAACAAATATACCGTTGTTCACGATTTTTCGTCCTCTTTTCATAGAGATTTATGTTGATATATAAAAAACATATTTTTTTTTCTAAAAATAAACTCACTTCGTTTTGTTGTTTTTTTTTCAATATTTAAGTTTGTTTTTATCCAAAAAAACTAACTATATCAAAAATCTCAATTTTTTCCTTTATGTATTAACATCAACATCGATTAAAAAAAACTTCGATCAGTTCAGATTCAAACTGTAAATCTGAACTGTAAATATTTTAATTTTAATATTCACCATATGAATTTGACTTACTATTTCAATTTTTTGATCATTCACAAATTATTTTAATGAAATTTACATATCAATCAAAAATATATTTTCTTGTAATTTTATGATATTTTAACGTTTTGATTACTAATAAATTAGTTTTGTAAAATCTACAAATAGATTTATTCATATTATGAATCTGAACTGTATATAGTTTAGTTTTTTGGAATTCACAATGTGAATCTGACTTGCTATTATTCACACTATGAATCTGAGTAGATTCGCATTGTGAATCTAAACAGATTCATAATATGAATCTGAGCATTCACAGTATGACTTTGAACTGAATTTTTTTACATCAATATGAATCTATGTTTAAAGAGTACAAAAAATATGAATTTTGATATCTTTGTTAAATATTTTTCAATAAAAAAATAGACCTTAAATTTTCAAAAAAAGAAAGAAATGAAGTGAGTTTTTTTTTAAATAAAAATTCAATTTTTATATATCAATATGAATCTCTATAGAAAGAAACCGAAAAATCATGAATAACTATATATTCGGTTTTTATTTCGACAAAAACATGGCGTAAAAATTTTTAACGAAAAAAAAGAATTGAATTCTGTTATAATCTGGTGCATGCACGACCCTTTTAAAAATCTACAACCCTTGATTGTTGTAAATTCTCACGCATTAGATTGCTTTCTCGATTGTATGATTAATAATAGTTCTCTATTGAACTTTTTCTTTTATATATATATATATATATATATATATATATATATATATATATATATATATATATATATATATATATATATATATATATATATATAGTTTGGGCACATCAATCGGTTTTTAAGGCATTATACAATTTCAGCCATTATAAATCAATTTTGTTCATGCCACTTTGATAAATTTTCGTCCATTAATTTGATTTTTTTCTCCAAACTTCATAAATCGATTTTTTGATACTCTTATGGATCACTTTTTCTAACCCTAAAAAATCGATTGTCCCTTAGCCTTTTTAAAGGTTATTTGAAATCATTTTTATGACTAAATTCAAACATGAACTTTGTTTCTAGATCATGGCACATGATTTTCCTTTTGGCAAGTGAAAATGAAAGATCTTGTGGCCCAAGTTGATTATGATGGTGCGTTGGATTCTTTTAGAGGAGTGACATGTTTTGAATCATTCATAATCAACGAGAATCAATGAGACTTCACTGTGGATTTAACTATTTTGGAGTTTTAGGTTACTTCATTTTCCATTGCTAGTTTTAGAGTTTTTCGACTTTAAGAGTGTTGGTATCCCAAAATCCTATCACTTGTTCGTTGAATATCGACTTATTTAAAGATTTTATACGGTATATGTATTTTCAAGCATTTAATATCGAATGTTATTTTGTGAGCATTATGATACCAAAAGATTTTTTGGTCAAAAGACGTTTATGCCGTATTACATTATGTTTGAGGTTTTTACCTCTTAATTATCTTATCTCTAGTTTTAGACAAAGCGAGCAAAGTACCGGTTTCAGTTCGTGGGTGCACTCAGGAGCATGTTATATATTAGGCTAAAAGGAATGATTGTGATACTTACGACATAAAGAGATGGTCACATCAACTAATATCAACTCCACTAGGTTCTCACCATCCTTAAGAACGGGTGTTCCCCTGGTAAGTTGATAGTAAGTGGGGGAGAAAAAGATAAAGATACAGAGAAGGTTTTTTCTCTCATTTTTGAAGGATTGTAGCCTCACTCATGGAACCTCACATCACCTCTATGCAGGGATGGTGTTCCCCCCAAAGTCAAACGTAAGTAGCTTCCAACTCAGCATACGCATATGAAACTCCACCCATTCCTTTTAGCCTTATGGTATAAAGTCCATTTTGGAACTAGTGGTTTGGCATCGTTAAAATTTTGAAGCATATATAATATTTTAAATATATTTTTGAGGTACTTGCGTTGAGTTTGAAGGTTTCGTATCTAGTGACATTTGATTTATCACCATTTTTTCGTCTATGTCATTCGAGAGAGTTTAGTCCTTAGAGACTTTTGGCACTATTTATATTTGACTTATGTCTTCTAAAATTTGAAGGT